ATTCTACAAAAATTGATTTTCTGGCTTTACATAGAGTTCTGAAAATTATCCTTAATTATGAGAACGTTAAAATTAGTAATAAAACATTTTCACCTTTGCGAGACTTAGAAAAATTTCGATTCCGCAACTTCCATCGGCCAGAACTTTTTCATTTGGCATCGTAGCATTGCGCTAGATGGCGCCACCTGTACCGTTTTCGACCGAATTCGACAAAAATTGATTTCCTGGCTTTATTAGGCATCAAAACGCATCAAACCCTAATAGAAATTTGTTTCTAAATGCCTCGGGAACCATACTACGTCGTCAAAGTGCCGAAATATTCATTTTATTATTTTCCTTATAAGCACGATCGGACCCACATTTTTTAGGTTTAGTTTACCCGTTTCGTCGCTAGATGGACGACAATTTTTTGGTCTTAAGTTCAAAATTAGCAGTTAAAGTTCCAACTACATTTTCAAACGCTCACCGAAATTTTTGGGCACCAGCGGTTTCATGGACGACTCCAGGATTCTGCCCAGGAAATTTTTTAAAAAATAAAAAGTGCTCGGATTTAAAAACTAATTATATATTCATTAAATTCGGGCTTTTTTAGCTTTTCTGGGTTAATCCTCTTTTTCGGAAACTTACTGCGCAGCCCTAACTCTAACCGGATAGGTCTGCGCAAGGGGTCAAAGTTTAATATTGCACGTGAAGTTGAATTGCACGTAATGGCGTTCACATTAGGCTATTTTGACCGGTAGTTGCCTAATCTGAAGGCACCCTTATGCAGGTCCGTCATAGCGCCATCTAGCGGCAATACGTGGTACTACATGTGAACTAGCAGGTTCAGCCGTTTGTTGATAGATGGCGCTGCTATCGCCATTTGTGGCGGTTTTTTTAAAAGATTTTTTCCTTTTTTCTTGACGTATTTATATGCGGATCCTGGGCAACGAATTTTCGAAAAGTCAAAATTGCACCAATTGCGAAACTATTTACGTAATTGTTAAAAAGTTTTTTTCACATTTCTGGGCAAAACCCCTTTAAAAATGTGACTGCGCATGTCTATCTCTTACGGTTTAGGATTTCGCAGGGGGTCAAAGTTCAAAATTGCACGGGGCATACCTGTAGTATTATTAGTGGAAGGAATAAGGTGGAGGAGACTTATTAAAATGAAAACATGGTACTCTGTGCCTTAAATCCATTTATTTACACGCAAATATATTATATGTATACGTATAGATATTTATATATTATGTATATATCACTGTTATATTGCTATAACCCTTGAGATTTACACGTACAAGCTATACTTTTTCAATAATAGTCGCTCTCACAAAACTGCGTTGAAAATTATTCGTGCCCATCATTCTCTTCTTTCCACCTGGCGACCTCGTTAACAATTAAAATCAATTACTTCGAATATTCCTAAGCTTTAATCTCGAAGCACTCTATTGATCATCGTAATTTTTAGTTAAATAAAAAAACGTTAAAATAAAAATTCATTAAAATGGTTGAAACGCAAGAATAAAATAATTGAAATAATTACAATTGCATCGTTTTAAAAAACATGGAACAATGCTATCGAGATTAAACCGATCTGAAAAATCTTCAACTGCCATGGAACAGACCCTGATAATACTGCTTGACGCTTCCTGTTTCCTGTTCCAACGAGTCTCAAATATGCGCACTTAGTCCTGTTCATTGAGCGATAAAAATCCGATATTGCTCGGTAACTGTTTGGCAAAAAGTTCGCTGATTCGTCGTATGAACGGAATAAAAAATCGCTTCGCAAAAATTTCAAGTTTCTACTTAGCTAACGTTGCACTCGAGGGTCGTGTAAAACAGTGATGGGCAATTCAAGTGTCCACAAAAGGGCCAACGGGCACGGGTGTGTGCAGCGATGTTGGACGTTTATGGAAATTTCAAAATTGTAATTTTCAAATTTAAAAATTGGAAATTTAGATGTTTGGTAATTTGCAAATTTAGAAATATAGATATTTCAAATTTTCAAATTTAAAAATTGAGTGGCTTTACGTGCACGGCACCTGCCCGTGTTTTCGCGGGCCCAGTTGCCCATCTACTGGTATAAAAAACGATGACGTAATTCATTCACGTGTTACAGAGGCATGATTATTTTTCTTTTGTTTCACTTCTTCGATTGATCCTGTCAAATTACATCCGTGAATCCTTATTTACATACAACAATAAAATGCACAGGTTATTCCCGCGAACAACATTTAAAAAGTAGAATACACACGAGTGACAAGATACGTACGTTTAAAAATTACAGAATCTTCGATCAAGTTATACGGGACGATAGCGTTACCAATCTGATCTTGCTCGTTTCGACTTCCGACTCGTGATTACATATATTGATTGTTACCGCTAAAATAATCAAACACCATGGCGGGTGACACTCGTTACAAAAAAATGCATGCGCCACGTGAATAAGATATTATTTGGTGTTTCACTTACAAATGAATTCATTATAAAAAGAAAAATAAAGGTACGGAGGCAGAGCATGATTCGTGCGTTAAATGCAGGGTCAAAATAGTCTCGTGGATAAAAAAATTTGTCAAAAGAGGAAACATCGACGATAAAAGAACGGGAGAAGACGCCGTTTTCTTTGTTATTACGTATTATACAAATTTGTGTCAATGTCATGTATGGCATCTCTTGGAAAAAGCTTCGAAACTTCTGCTCCTCTTCGTACAAAATATTTACTATATGTACAGATTCCCTTCTATCTTATTTCTTCTTCTCTTTCTCTTTCTCTCTCTCTCGCACACTCTTCATCCGATTTTTACATAAACGTATCTTAACAAAACAACAATTTCCAGCTCTTAATAGCTCGCCGATATGACGTAGACTTAATCGTCCGTATACTTAATCAATCTATCATGTACAATTACGTCAACATAGACTTCAGATACGAATAATGTAGAGAGGGAGAAGTATTCCATTATTTACTTTCAATCTTGATTAAAGTATTCAATTTAAAATATTAAAATTTAAGAAGATAAATTTTTAAATTTACAAATTTGAATAATCTATAAATATAAGAAAAGTCTAGAGAAAACTAAGCTCTCCCTGAGTTTTCGCAAGACCATATACAAATGATGAAAGTCTTCTCTACACTTATTCCTATCCAAAAGAATCTTACATTGTACCCAATTGTACATGTACATAAGTAGTATTCTACAATATAGTGGTGATTTTCACGTTGCGTCTCGTAAAGCTTTCATGTAAGTGCTCTGAGCAGCCCATTTGAGTCGATCTGTACTAACTAGAATTAAAGTGTAGGTATTTCTGTGTATGTATGTGTGCAGGTGTTTGTGTCTATAATGTATGTATGTATGTATGCATGTACGTCAGTCTTGAGCCACTTTCATAAAAGCTTCCCACTTTTATGATCAAGTCGTCTTACCTAAATATATACTCGAAGTTTATCGTATTAATAGTGTCTTGGCACATTTTTTCTAACATGTAAATATTATATATTTATATATAAATATATATTGTATGTAAATACAAATACAAATATATATAAATATATAGGTGTGATGTACCTGGCATGTATGTGTGTTTGTTGTATGGTGTATTATATGTGTGTACTTGAGTGTGGACGTTTGTTACGTGTTTGTTTGAGCTTATGCTATCACCAATGGTTCATCATCGGAGAAGCCTCGAATTACAGGGCTGTCTTCTTCTTCTGCAAAAAAGGAGTAGTTAATTAGATTACGATTGGACATTAGATAGAATTTACACGTGACAAAAATTATGTGTACCAATTTGAGTAACAAAAATATTACGATTTCCGTAAAAACAATCACTTTTTAAACTTACCTAAACCATCTGTGGTTCCTGGGAAGGTTGCCTGTCCACGTCTAGTGTCATAGTGGCTGTTAGCAAATTGTGTGAAACTATTGCTCAACCTTCTATGTCTCACGACAAAGTATACCAATGCAGATCCTAGAGCTACGATCAATAAACAGATCGGTATAGCAAACGAGAGAATGTTAGAAGTGTCCATATCCACTGGTAACGCTGATGCCTCTGTAACAAATCATTTTGAATCGTCATTAGCATTCCCCAGCATCTAAAATAGCAGTAATCTTCGCGATAAAATTACCTTCAAAGTGCCTGATGCTATAGATCTCACTCAGGGGACTCAAATATCCCTCCTCGGTGACCAAACGAACAGCAAACGTATAAATTACATCAGGTTTTACGTCCTTGTACTCATAGGGTGGTTGTTCGATCGTATAAATCTTGGCGAGCGACTCGTTCATCTTGGGACCTTCCACCACCAAAATCTCGTAGTGGTATTTTGCAGTCTTAATTACGTCTGGCAAATCGTGCACGAGCCAGGAGATACGGAATCCCTCATTTTCAGGCAGAACTTTCAACTGATGAGGTGGCAAAATTATAGGAGCTACGTAGATAATTGGATGACTAGGTATAGCATTATCAACATCTGTGGCAACGGTGATTTGATATTTGCCGCCGTGTTTGATGTTGTTGAACGTGTGTTTCATAGATGTTTCGTTAGTCGGTGGTAAGGTCACTACGAAATGCTTTTTGCGTATTAATTCTGTCACGGTGATCTGAAATGAACAACAATAATTTCTAAGTAGATGAACGCAGAATACGTTATCAAATTTCCAAATTTGCTCTTACCGTGTATTTTATGGGTTCATCAATCGTAGGACAACTAGAACTCCAAGAGATGGTAATAGTATCCGGTTTGTCCGTCGGACTGACTCTCAGTTTCTTTGGTGGAGCACGCTGATTATAATGAGTGAACACCGTAACGGGTTGGCTCAAAGGACCAGCGCCATAATCTCCATTAACGCCAACCGCGAACAAATAGGATTCACACGCCTCTAGGTCCTTAATAGTCGCCGACAAGTTAGTCGTCAGTAGTTTATACTCTGTAATTACATCTCCATTAATATTACAGAATAAGAACACGCATACTTATATTTGTAACAAATGATTACCTCTGAGGAATTCCACCATATTTACGGCATAATGAATTGCGTATTGCCATTTGATCTTTCTGACGCTCTTTGGTGGATCCCAAGTAAGCTTCACGGTCGTTCCATGAGGTTTAACCAATTGGGCAACTAATTTTGTAATGCTTGGGAGAGGAATGGAATCTGTGATAGCGGTTATCGCTGTGGTCTTTCCAACGTACTTTTTCTTCATGGCTCCAACCTCGAAAGTGTATTTGATTCCAGGAGCTAATTTAGTTACCTCCACGTGATTATTTTGAGTAAAGATAGATTGCATCACAGGATAAGAAGATGGAGCTATTGGAGTAATGTGATAACTGTCGACGTCCTTCAGCTCTTTCCAGGCTAGGGTCACCGAGTGATTGGTCTTCGCAACCACCTTGAGGTCCTGAATGTTATCAATATTAGCGGACCCATCGAAGGTTAAAGTAGCCACGTTCGAGGAAGCTGATTCACGATCTTGATTCTTAGCTATTACCCAGAACGAGTAATTCTTGCCCGCTTCAAAATCCATGTCTATAATCGCTGAAGTCTTTTGTTTGAGGAATCGCATAGGTGGTATAGGTGGTGTCACAAAAACGTCGTAACCGGTGATGGGTCCATTAGGATGCATAGGCGGTTGCCAAGTAACCTCCACCCGAGTTCCATTCTTCTGCGTCACGGTGACATTCCACGGTTCCGATGGGATACCTTCTCCAGTTGTTACTGTCAGATACTTGGTTGGTGGAAATACAACATTCTGACCCTTTAGTCTAACATGGACGGTTAGATTGTAACGAGTGTACGGCTTGAGGTTGTTAAACTGATACTCCATCTCCTCGATCCATTCACTGGCATTTGTCCAGTTAGCTCCTGGCTCTGCATACGCTATGGAAGGCAGAAATTCGAAGGTGACGTTGGTGGGCATTGGCATCCACCAGAAAAGGAAGACGCTACTGGCATTCACCGACCGTTCATCCACTCCCATCACAAGCAGCTGATAAACGCGAGAACTGTTTTTCTCGCAGTTACTTTCGTCGAATCCGTCCATACAATCTTGGTTTCCATCACAGTATGCAGCCAGAGGGAAGCATCGCGTTTGATCGCAAGGAAATAGTCCGACATAGCAGGATGGTGTAGCAGCTGGGCTAGAGTGCTGCTCCCTTGAACAGCCCAATTCGTCACTTCTATCAGGACACTCAACTATACCATTACATACATAAGACAGAGGTATACAGGTGCCATCCACTCGACACATGAACTGATTCTCTCTGCAGGAAACCTGGACCCCTTCACAACGTAATTCATCCTCTCCCGATGCGCAATCCTTCGCTCCGTCACAAACCCACGCATCGTGAATACATTTGCCGTTCAGGCACTGGAATTCGTGCTCCTGACAGACCTTGGCTTGCTCGGTGGAATATGGCATCGTCCACTCAACCTCATAGTTACCACAGCCGATTTCGTCAGAATCATCACCACAATCGTCTACAGTATCGCATTTCCACCAATAAGGTACACATTTCTTGTTATTGCACATAAACATCCAATGATTACAGGGAGTGCCAGGTAGATCTGGAGCTAGAGAACCTGGAGGCATGGTAGTAGTACAATTCAGTTCGTCTGAACCATCCTCGCAGTCCTTATCCCCATCGCAGACCCACGAGTTATAGATGCAGCGATGTTTAGCATTCGAGAGATTACACGTAAACTGCCAGCTCTCGCAAACCATCTTATTGCAGTCCGCTTCGTCTAGACCATCCACACAATCCCGTTCCCCGTCGCATTTCCAGCCGGTCGGTATGCACACGTGCTCGGATTTGCAGAGGATCTCGTCAGATCTACAAGTACTAGGTGCTATGCTCTTCGTACAGTTCTTCTCATCCGAGTTGTCACCGCAATCGTCTTCGCCGTCGCAACGCCATCTATGAGATATGCATCTGCCGTTGTCGCATTTGTATTGGGACTCTGTACAGTTCGAGTACTTGCAGTTTAACTCGTCAGTGCCATCCTTGCAGTCCTGGTCAATGTCGCAAACCCAGTACCTTGGGATGCACTTGGTGCCATCACATTCGAAGTTGTTAGGGTCGCAGGTAACTCTGGTGCAGTTAATTTCGTCCGACCTGTCGCCGCAATCGTTATCTCTGTCGCACCGCCAAGACGCCGGGATGCACACGTCGTTCCGACAAGCGAACTGGTTAGGTGCGCAGGTGGTGGCTACTTGAGGACATGTCGAGTTAGCGCACGGCTCGACACCACCTGGACACATGCATTTGCCCTCGACCATCTCCATCCCATCCGGGCAAAGACACACGTGTCCGTCATTAGGTGCTCCCACACATATGTGCGTGCAAGTGCTATTTGCGCAGGCGTTAGTACCCAGTTGAATACTGTGAGCAAACACCTTCAAATCCATCAAGCCAGGCAGCTGACCGATGATCGTGGTTATACCCACACCATGATCCTTGTCTGCGACGAATATCTTCGACTGCTTCCAATCGTCCCAGTACATGTTGTTCTTGAACACTGCGACAGCGAAGGGATGCGATACCCGTTCGTTTTTCGATATGATTTTCTTGAATTTCTTGCCGTCGAAATCACTGGAACCGATGTAATCCTGTCTAGCATCCACCCAGTAGATGCGTTCTGCGATGTGGTCAATGGTGATTCCATTTGGCCAATCAACTGTGGGTTCCACGAATAACCGTTTCACGTCTGTCCCATCGAGATTGGCCCTCGAAACTGAAGCGTTGCCTGGTGCCCAATCAGTCCAAAACATGTACCCATTCATAGGATGAACTGCAATGCCTCTAGGTTTCTGTAGATTGTTGGGTCCTAGAATCGTTCTTCGCATTCGTCCAGCAATGGACATATCTGTTCTAATCACCTGAATCCTCATTTTCACACCGTCCACGAAATACAAAAGATTAGACACCCAATCCAGTGCCATTCCTTCTATGGAGCTCAGGTCTGTTTCCACTAAAATCTCTGGATAACTGGTACCATCCTTAAAACACTGTCTGCCAATGGTATCGTTTACAATGTCCGCCCAGTACAAACAATTATTTCTCATATCGAATTCTATGGCTATCACGTTCTTTAGGTCGTGAACCGGTAAAGCTTCTAACTTCTCTTCCACCAGATCAATACGGGATATGTGTTCCCGTTGAGCTACGAGCAGAAATTCTGATTTGTCTCCTATAGGGCATGGAATTTCGTCAGGTTCAAAGTTCCTGGCTAAACCACCAATACACTCATCGTCGGCTATCTTGATGTATCCTTTTGTTCGATTATAGAATGATCCAGGTTTGCATGTTTTCGGTATGGCGTATGGATCGTAGTAGAATACAGATCTATCACGAATACAGTGATAAGGATTTCCAACTCGTACGAACCCAAAATCACATTGGTAGTCGATGAAATCGCATGGACATATTTCCGTCTTTATTGGTCGATCATAATCCACACCGATGTAGCAATTAACTCGCGCAGCTCTTCGCTGATACGTCTCTTTTCTACCCAATATACAGGACATCACTGGCTGTTCTGGACTCGACGGAGACCAGAACTTGAAGTCGTCCTCTTTACAATCTCTCTCAAACACATTACGCAAATCAACTTTGATGATTAACCATTGATGTTGCCCATTTGCCGATCCGAACATCGTGAATACTGTAGTGTTTTCTCCTGGTTCAGTCATCAACCCATATACTCGCAACATTTTCTCATTGAACTCATACGATTGCCAAGTTTCACCCTCGTCCGTGGAATAAGAAATATCTCTGGTATCACCTCGTGACTTAAAATACTTAACAGCAACCAACAAGCCACCGTGGTCTCCCATGTTGAAAAAATAGTAGTCCTTGAGAACATATTTCCAAGTGACACCTGCATCCCTGGATACGAACAGAGCAGGATGACCTTTAAGATTTGTCCCTATAACACCTGTAGCCATTATGATACCAGGAGCAGATTTTGAGCTCATAATCGACACTGATCTTGTAACAGGATACAACTGACTAAAACGCTGGCTGAGATGCAACGAACAGTTCGTGCAACGGATAAAGAATCCTTCATGATTCGCGGTGGGTGGCTTTATTGGATTCCAAGTTGCACCATGGTCGAAAGTTATCAATGATACCAAATGTTCCGGTCCAATTGAACCTGATTTTGGTGAACCTTTTACTTGTGATGCTATATAAATGCCGCGAAGACCTTCAACCTTGTACAGATCTGTAAATACTTCGTCAACCACTTCACTGAAAATGATACAAGTAACAATCGAAATGTTTCTTACGACACAGATTTTTGAAATATAGGTATCAGACCTTATACTTACTTCAACCAACTTTCTTTCCAAGTATTACTAGGAAAGAATGTTAGAATATTTTCGAGGGATAACGTGAATGTTGCCTTTGTCTTATCGATAACTTCCGATATATAAAGATTTACATGTGTTTCACTGTGACAAGCCGTGACAAAGACTCTATTATGTGACACGTCAACAATGTGATAAGCTTTAATCGGTAAATCTGTGTTGAATGCAGCTTTGACAAAAGTATTGTTCTTGTATGATACATAAAGATCCAGATTTACTGTCCCATTCTGTTAGCAAAAAGGTTTATCCATATTTAAATTTAAATTTCCATTTAACATGTAGTGTATTCAATAAACTATTTATTACTCACGTCTACACTCTTTGAGGTCGCGAATCTATAATCGCCTCTAATCTGAAAATCTTCGACGTTCGTAATAACAACGGCAAACTCATTTTTCAATTTTGTTACATCTTGTATTTCATCCCATAAATATGTCAAATCCAATTGCCAAACACTGTTTGACCCAGAAGGTTCAATACGTTCTACTACTAATGCTGGTAAGGGAGACCAGAAAAATGCTTTCACAGAACGGTATATTGGAAACCATGTTATTCCCATATCTTTTGATAACCATAGCTATATTACAGCACAATAACAATAAAATAAAATCAATATAACAATGACAGAAACAAAGTTCTATTAATAAAAAGCATAGACATTTACTGCACGATTTGGATGAGTTTTGTCAAGAGCAACAACAACTCTATAATCGCTCTCATCATATGAAATCTCACTTGGATGGAATGGTACTCGTCTCCTTGTTATATATCTGCCATTAGTGGATGTGAGGAAAAGTAAACTATTTGTGCTGTCCACAAAGATACACTGTAAAGTAATAAATAAAAAACAGAATTGTCTAAAAATATAAAAATTGATTATGTTCATTTAAACATTAACTTACGAAATTATACTTTTTTGGATGATTGATGAACTTATCCAAAGTGGCATATGGTGCATCAGGCTCAGAAGAAATTCGAAATTTATCTGTCTTGTTCTCAAATGTGTCACCATAATCATAACTTATGTATACAGCACTAGGAGTAGGACTGCTGTTTCCAGCAAACTTGCTGTCTTGCATGCGTTTTGTAAGTGTGCTGTCTCTTGCTAGACATATTATTACATTAGATCCTTCTCCAACCCAATGGACCATCAATTGTTGATGTGAATCGTTCAAAGCATTCACCTGTAACATACATCATTGATTCCAGCATTTACATGAAAAACAAAAAATATTTTGTCACATTGTATTCAAATACAGATTATCAATAATGATAAGCTATTAAACTGATAAACATTTTATCAACAAAAATGGAAAGTCAAAGAAAAGTCAATTCAATATTTACTATTACTTCATAAAATAATATAAATGAACATAGAATATAAGCCATAGATGTTTATAGTTCCTAGAAAAATAAAAATCCCCACTATATGTATATGTAAATGAGTTTATACATGACGTAATGGTATAATAATGTTTCCTCCTTGTTAAATAAATTTATCATTGTACCAGGAATGATTGATGCAACATATTCTAAAAATAACTTAAACTATGTAAAACAATTTTTTGTTTGTTAATTTATGGTTTTAAATGATTCCAAAGTATCATTCTTATAACACAGATATATACAATATTAAAAGAAAGGTAAAATAAGGCAAGGTATTATATTTGCCTGCAGTATCTTGGTTCTCAAGATTACAGATTCATTAGATTAATATGCCTTATCATATTACATTATTATACTGTTTCATTATATCAGTAAACTACTGTTGCACTGATCTTGCACTAATGCTATGCAATAGTAGATTTTCTAATATTCTGTGTATTACTTATTTTGGACTTAAACTGCTGACACATTATACTTCTTTGTTATCTTATTGTCATATAGCATGCAAGTATGTATATGTATATGTATTATTTCATGCATGAATGTGTTCAAAGGCATGACATACACTGATGACTAATTATCATGTACCATTGTACCATCAGAATATTTTTATTTTTGTAGTTATAAAATATTTTTCATATTATGAAGACATTCTGCATAATCTCTTTATATTCTTATAATAAAGATTAAATAAATTTTATTGAAAAATATAACGTATGAAAATGATTTCCGCAATTGTCACGTAAGACAAGTTGGACAAACATTGACATTTATAATAACAATAATTTTAAGTATCAGATATTTACGTCAACGAATTACACAAAGACATAATCCGCAACATTTTATTGGAGTAAACGGTTCAACGCTATCTATCGAGTTGATACGATTCAAAACGAATAAATAAATAATCATGCAGTCGATAACGATCAATGACTGCTTTATTCGAAAGACGGATCGGTCATTTATTTAATAAAAAAAAAAAGGAAGACAGGCTGATTAGAAAAATAAAAGTCATACAGAGCGGTTACTGACCTCTGCATGTCAATAGCAGAACGACTATGATGCTACTCCGTTTCGTCAAGATTGATTAAATTTAGTCCGGAAGGGACATAATACAGCAATTACGCTCTCCACTGGTCACTGCACAAAGGCAGTACTATGCGCCGGCCTTATTAACTACCGCGTAAAATTCTAAAATCGCTGCTATCGGTAACTCCATAAAGATAAGACAACAAAAACAACGCAAATTGTGCGGCAAATGGATGAATAGCATCGCAACTGGCGGAATAGGATCAAAACAATTTAGACGCCAGTAAAACGGTTAGTCAACGATCACGTACCTTTGTTGTGATGTTTGGATTATTATTTGGGAACGGAGGAGGAACATCTCTGCGCATTCTACTCGATGACGTTTCTTCGAAATGTTCACCTCGATTGATAATAATCGGACGTCTGTAGCCAAACGAATCATGATCCTCCGTGATGTGTAACGTAGTCGCTTTGTCTCCGTACCTCAACCCATTATTCGAATTAGTTAACAATATCAAATAAAATAAAAGCGCGGAATAATAAAAGGCCGAAGTCACCCGGCCGGCCATCTTGCTCAGACTGACTTTCTTTACTCGCCATGTACAAATATATGTAACTATTTGTATATGTATATGTTCACAGCCCGTACTGGGCGTTCATAAAATCAGCAAACTGCATTCTTCAGCTTGATACACACCCGCCATTTGCGGCATCGTATCGTTCTTCAAACACCTCAAGAATTACTTATTATTGTCAGAAACATTGCAATAAAACTGAGATTTTGTATCATAATTGCAGTATAAAATTTGGAAATATTTTGTTTCATATATAATTTGTTCAGTCATAAGATTTTTGTAAGAGGTTTTGGAACTTGGAAATTCTTCCAAAGGTCGATACAAATCACATTTAAGAACACCCGAGTAGAACCATTCTAGAATTTAAATATTGAGAAATCATTTCCATAAATATTATTTTAAATGTTACGCAAATTATTAAATAAAAATTAGCAAATGGTACGAATGTTGCAATTAATGTATATATATAATTAACTTAAATCCTTACATATATACAATTTAAAGACTGCTCGTTACAATCGAAAATCAATTTCAAAAATTAATCATAAAATAATATTAACATACTGTAACATATTAAAATATTGGACAAATAATTATTCATACGGTAGTCGATAGAAAAGAATGTTCGCGATAAAACTGAAAATCACCGTTGGGGGAGTAAGTACTTTTAATGGCGACTCTTAGTTGCAATAATAAAACTATATTAGATAATGGCTTTCATTTCCTGACAACAGAATCACTGTCTCCTCCACATCAGTTACACGTATTCAAATAGAACGCACACGATTAAGAACCTTCTTTATTTTACACTGGTTAATATTTTTTTATCGGAACTGCGCTGTAAGGAATAACTACAAAAAATTTCTTTATTATTACGACTATATTATCAATCTATAAAGTTATTATATCGAAGCCAAAATACATAAATATCTGATAATGTAAATAAAACGCCGAAAACTAATTAAATAAACGATGTAATTCAAACTTGTACAGATTGATCCAAATTTAATAATAAGAATTATTTTCGAATTAAGAGATAATCCTTTAAATTTGATAGTACCTATAAGCTGCCTGTATTAAATTCAAACAAATTCGTAGGACACATGAACGTGGATGGAAACATTCTTGGGATAATTCTGTGCAAGAAGTACCACCAAGTAGTTTTACAATAATCATATATTATCTATTATAATAATTTTTATTTCTTATAATTTACTGTTCATCATTATTTCATATTTATTTATATTTATATATAAAACACATAGCTATGAAATATCAAGTTGTTTATAGTGTAGCAATGCGACTCCAAATGTTTAAAAAATATCCACTAAATGCACATGCATTGAACAAGAGAAAAAAAAGCGTACGATGTCATCGATATTTCTTTTTTACTTTTTTGATTAAGACCATTAATTAACGCCTGCCGTATTATCTAGACATACACTGCGTTTACTTTGTGATGGTATTTACAAATCAGTGAAGCAGCGCACGGTACAATGTAGTAAAAATATTCATTGAGGGAAATCTTAAACAGGATTCATTCCGAATGCGCGGAACAAGTCGATATCGGTTTAATCGAGTCGCATTGAAATCAGCCAATACAAAATACATGGAAACAAACTTTAAAAAAGGAAAAGAAAAAGAACTCCATTCATTTGTAATGTCCATTGAAAAATTGTAGTCAAAAGCACGGTCACATTGAAATTCTTACACCCTATGAAACAAAACGAACATGATAAATATTTAAAAAAGAAAATAGATAAGAAAGTTAACAAACGCGCGAATCGCAACGTGGACGACCAGTTCAAATCAAGCGAGATGTTTTCAAGATGGAATTTCTGTTTTTTTTTTAAAGATACAAGTTCGCTTGACAAGAACTGTTTCATCATATATGCAGATACGTCTAAAGAACAATTAAATATCTCTCATTTTCCTCCTCTTAGATGTTTTTCTTCCTTTTTAATTCCGTAGAATCATGATATTTGGGATCGTGTAAGAGGAAACTCTGAATTATTACACAATGTTCCATTTCTTCGTTTTTATAATCCTTCAATGCGTATTCCCTTAGGGCGCAGCATATATTTAACAATTTGTTAAAAGCTAATTTATATTTATATTTATATATATAATATTTATATATTTATTTATATATTTATATATATATTATGTCCCAAGTTAGTGTGCTTCTTAAAAATATATGGCAGTCATCGAAACGCAAACGAACCGTTTGCGGAAAAACGTGAAATTAAAAGATTACAAAGGTGCATGAGCAAGAAACAAAGTAGAAATGAAACGTGCATCGATTGAGCTTTTTTGACATTAAAATAAAATAATTGTAACTTACGATTCAACGAGCAAGGTATCAAGTTGCCAAACGAGTTCTGCTAAAATTTGTTAAAATACAATGTAGAAATATCGCTCTTAAGTTGCTACAAAATTTCTCTATACAATATACAAAGCATTACTTAATTTCGCGAACATTTTTACACTTAAAATAACGAAACATATAATAGTTCATAATATCAAACATTCTAAAAACATAGTATGCAACTTAGTTAAAAGTTTTGTAATTGTAAATATTGATATAATTGACTTACATACAGAACTACAGCAACGCGATACCAATTAAAAGAAACAATGTTTTTAAGAATCAAAAATACGTCGTGTTATTAAGCAATGATACATATTAGTAATTATAAATTTAATTTTTATCGCAGTTTTCGACTAATACATATGGATATCGTGCACGATCAATTTTTTAGTGATCATATATCCATGTGTGAATGAATTTTAACCACGCTAACGTGGGACATATCAAATGTGTGTATGTGTGTGTCACCTTTTCAACTAGCGATATATTGCAAAGTGTCCAAAAATTCCTTCGAAGAGAAGAGAAAATAAAAAAGAACGCATTTAGAGATTTCGAATGGCCTATACGCGAGTGAAATGTTTTAACACATACAGACAGCTGTTTAAATACTCTCTATGATTTCCATGGCGAATAGTAGTCGTAGATGTAGGCGTTTCGTTAAACGACAAGATTTAGTAAGGGTCGTTCTTCGATTCGTTTCGTTAAATACCACTTCCGTGTGTTATTCGTGTGTTCGTGTTTGTGTCTCCTAATTTTTTTACGATCAGCGTTGCTTTTTAACCACGCAGAGCGACGAAACATTTCTCTTAAACTGTTTGTGTTGTGCTGAGCGGCTTATACCGTACTTCACTGCTCCGGTTTAGCTGAAAATTGGCAAAACAAAGCAAACATTAAATTAAAAGATATTAACGCATAGACGTAAGAGGCAAGGATAACGTATCTCTGTAAAGTCTTTTTACTGTTGATACGAGGCGTAGAGCTAAACTATAAAATCATGTTAAGGATTCAACGCAAAATACTTATATAATAAAACAAATAGCTTTTCTTCTTTCTAATAATATTTACGTACTTAGATCTGAACTAATTAAGGAAATTATTCAAAATTGCTGACGCTGCTACTTAATGTTACACGAAGTTTATGTTTCAACTACAAAACTTTTATTTAAAATTATCTTATAAGGAAAATGCACAACAAAATTAAAAAATTAGATCCGTAACATTTGAATTAATACTAATCTGTCTTTAAAAATCATACACTTCCCTTAATAAACATTCAGATGTCGGAAAATTCAACAGTATACAAAATAAAAGAAATATAAAGCTCTAGCCTCCTTAAAATTACCCTTTATGTGAGTCAATAATGTTGTGGGATTTCCAAAAGGAAATATTTTTACAGTACAGTTCATTGTTACACTGTCCGTTTTGTCTCTAAAAGTATTGATTACATGAAACATAAACCTTATTTAAAATAGCATTACACTTGAATGGTTTGATTATCTGAATATTAGTTTGCTTTTACTTTGATATATAATTTTAGAGACATGAACCACAAATGAACCACCCTGTATACGTGAAGAAAACATTACTACGTCTCAAATATCTTTTGATACTGCTAAATGAATACTATATATACTATCGCTCAAGGTCTGACGGGCAAATACGGATGCTACACATAAATCTGGGCAATTAAAGTAAATATGCATGAGTCAGCCCCGTCTTTTAGGGGCTGCACACGTTTGTATAGTCGCATGTGTACAAAACTTGTTACCTTCAACAATAGAAGGTAACGCAAACTTTACTTCTTACTAAAACGAGGATCTCTGAAAGTTTTATCCGACCAGCAAAGAAGCGTGAACAAATGATATAATGATGATAATGGATAAGCAATGACAAAAGGATAGCCACAATATAATCCAGCAATGATATACAATAATTATGTATGTCTACGCATAAATATATATAATACATCATACTAGAGCGAACGAAAGAAACGTTTCATCAAAAAAGCAATGAAAATACGAATAAAAAGCGCTTGTGAATTGAGAGCTTAATTGGTGAAACGATTAAAACGATTGTGTTTCATATATACATAGATCTCTTCTCAGAATCGACTGTTTTGTTTTAATTTAATATCTGGAAATGTTTTGTCGCTAAAGTACAGTTGTTTCTTGAAATATACGATTACCCTTCGCTATTCGTTGCCATTTTTGCTGATACTGGACCTTCTATGAAACTAAAAATCATTGTCTGAATAACCAATAATATTTTTTGGACTTTGCCTGTTCAGTCTCTTTCAGTCTTATCACGTTTCGATTCGTACATGTTTCCTTGAGTGACACATTTCTGGAATTTATCTAACATCGTATATTCTAAAAGTTTGACTTTTCAATGCATTACCTTCAAAACATTTCAAATGCTGAAACATTATATTTTTTAAAACGTATTCTTTAACATTCAATTATACATATAATAGATTTTACTAGTTACTTTTTGTTTAGGATAGTGTTCTTTTAGAACAAAGGAATTCATGCTGATAGTAAAGTAAAAATTTGGTTACTGTACCAAAGCATTTTTACTTTACTTCAATAAACAACTTTGGACTCTATGCGATACCTCTCAACTGGCATGAGTCATCACCATCAATAGGATTACCAGAATTTTTAATGAATTATTTTGGAAAGAACAATACCTGAATAATTAACGACTGTAATTAGCGACTCCAAGGTTTCACAGAATAAATAAATACGTATTTAGCGCGCATATGAAACACAGTAAGCACTGCACATACACGTTCTCTTCATTGGAGAACATCGGATAACATCATTCCGCATTCACAATTGGAAGAACATTCCTCTTGTATTTTGTCGAGATGCTAATCATAATGAACAAAATAAAAGGAACAAAAAGGATGAACGAAAGGAGAGAAAAACAAGTGGATTACGATGATCAATTAATCGTGCAGCAGTACGACGGTCAAAACGATCTAATGATTGTTGTGCGAGAACTCACCGCAATCTCTCTCTGTAAATGTTGTTCCAATTGTGTACTGTTTTCTTACAGTTCATTGGTTTCACTTTCTACTTTTTGGCTTTTCTAAAATAATGATAAATGCAATATGATCGAATGAAATGGATGTCTGCCAGCGATAAAACGGTCGTGACACCGAATGACTGGGAAAACCTCGAATCTTTCACAATTATCGTTTACGCTACCATTATCTAACAGTGATGGGCAAAACAAATGCCAACCTTGAACATTTCATGGGCACCGATGTGCATACATAGAAGGAGGCCTAGGATAATGGTGACGAAATTTTTATTATGCAACAATATAAAAATAATAACACGTGCCAAACATTTTTTAAACCGATGGAATCATTGTGAAATTTTGTTATGATAAATTTAAAAAATAATATAATCATACAAAGTATAAATAGAGTATATAAAATGATACCAAGTGGATAAAGAAAATGTAGGGATTAGGGTAAGCTTGAAGAATTGCCCATCACTGAATCTATCACGCACATGCTCCGAGGTGATCGCCTGCCACTCGTCCAATGATGATCAATGACATTCAAAAAAAGAAGCAAAGTATGTCTAGTTCATAATACCTACACCATCAAAACATAATTCAGTAAAGTTCGTTTACTTAGCTTTCAGAGATACAGACGTGGATAGGCTATCAAAGATCAGATCACTGAAGTGATTAATGCAAGAAAGGAGAAAGTGTTAGAACTTAGATCAACGTACATAGTGTGTTACCCTGTAAATATACCTTCGAAACGAGCGATCATTAATGCTCGTTACCATTAACAATTTCTTCACATCACACTCTTGTAACTGAATTGAAAGAATCTTTAAAAGAGTAACATGAACAATGAAGCGAGAATTGTTATAAATTCGCAATAATAATAGTTTGAAGAGAAACACTCGTGTGGTCGTTGATGCTCCGTCTCCTTTCGAATCCCATGAATCTCATCATTTGTTACTTTGCATGATATGTCGGGCTCTATCTTAACGATCACTTATACCTTTCAAATACTTCTAACGAGACTCACTTTTTCTTGAGAGTGAAGAAACTACGCCGCTTGGTCTCGGCTTGTGTAGGAGCGGGCAAAGTATGCGCCCTGGACGTACTTGCACCTGATGTACCTTGCGTAGCTTGATTCAACACCGTTACCCATTCGTTCATTTCAGCGTCGTCTTTAGCCTGGAATAGGAAGTCGGATCCGCTTTGCGACCTAAAAATTTCAAACGGTATGTGTTTGTTCTCTTATACTTGTTCGTGTCTATTTCGCATCATTACTGACAGCAGACTTTTAAATATCTAACAAATCACTTACTTTACACGGAAGACATGTTTCCTCTTAGTGTAATCACTTGCTACAGTAATAGTTGCTCCTTTGAGATCCAGAGGGGCTTCTCCTTTGTACGGTTGATCTGGTGCAGCCTTGTACGACTTTTGATCGGTATATACAAACAAACTCTGTCCACGAACGACCATGTACACCTTGTGCCAGGATCGATTGGACGACTTCTTCGTTGTGCTCTCCCATTCGTGCTTTCGTTGCAACACGCCTTCAAATTCGTCGTCGCTGGGACTTCGTTGTTCTGTAATATCGAACAGAACTTGAAGCGATGCTCAACATTTTTATTACACTATACTAATTTAACGGTAAACGTAATCTATGTTAATTCTACGTTACACACGGCATCCAATTTTCTCGGAATATGCTGTACACTGCAAGGAACCCGTTTTAAACGGGAAGACCTAAACAGTTAATCGGATGCGTTAGACGATGCTCTAAATGCAAATCAAGCACCCAAACATACACGCATTCGCGACACCATTTGCATACTCATTGTCAGATTAGTTAGATGCAAATGTTTTGTTAATATCAACATTAATTTGGAACTGCTGGAAAGAAAAACAAAGGATGATTATCTTCTCTTAATAGATGGAGATTCTTCTCTGGAATACCTGGATGATACAAGAATATGATTAATTAATCCTAGATGATGAAATGTATCGACTAGATCGCAACTGTGTAGGTGTCCAACGGTTGATGTGAAAATAATTGCTTACCGGAAATACTGCGTTCATCATCACTCACGCCACTGCGATCTAAACTCGGCGACTTGGCAGATTTTCTCCAACGGAAGCTTCTGAACGGTGACTTGCTGCGACTACGTTCCTTACGTCTTAAAGTACCAGACTCGGAACCGCTTCCACCTTTTGGAGCTTTCAACACGACACACGCAACACAACGGGACATTATTAGCTACTTACAGGTCACATCGACAGCCTAGTTTATTTGGGATTGATTGATTGATTTATTGAATGGGGGGACAGGGGCTAAACTTATTCTGCCGTCAGTACACATGCAACATGCTCATGCGGGATCTTTAAACCATTTTCTGAGAGAATGTCATTTTTATTCTGTTACCTCGATCAGGTCTTCTATCGAATACGAATCAACTTTATTTTACATTAAAATGTTCAAGAAAGTTCCTTCAATTCGTCGTAAAGTTACAACACGAAAAGAAGGGAAAGAATTTTATAATTCGTGATTAAAATTGAAAGAATAAATTGATTTTTTCGATCCGTCTTTTGTCTTTATCGATAAAGGTCATATTTTACGATGTTCAAGGAATACTGTACTAATTTGTTTATTTTTCTATTAAAAAATTTATCATGACGACTTTCGACCAACTTTTCGGAAGAAAATCAGTGAGAGAAGACGAGCACTTGTGTTGCGGGGAGCAGCAGCAAGAACCGCAAGAGGAACCGGAAGTGCTTACGGTACCAGCATTGTCGACCGCGGCACCACCTTGGTCAGGTGTCGCGATAGTTAATTTAAAAATGAAGGATATATCACTGCAGGATTACAAAGGAAGATATTTGGTACTGTTATTCTATCCTTACGACTTCACCTTTTTCTGTCCTACGGAAATGATTCAGTTCAGCGATCGTATAAAAGAATTCGGAGACATAGGTATATCTACTATTTAACTCTGTATGCATCATTAAAAAATTTTTAATTTAATTTGTAAGACTGTAGCATAGTGGCGATTTCTACGGATTCTCAATATACGCATTTGGCGTGGATCATGACACCACGTAAGCAAGGTGGTCTGGGGGAGATGCATATGCCCGTTCTGGCGGACAAGAATCAGAACATATCCAGAACATACGGAGTGCTCGATGAAAACGAAGGAGTAGCTCTGAAAGGATTATTTATCATCGACAAGAGACAGCTGATTAGGCACATTTCGATTAGCGAGATATCTCTGTCACGTTCCGTCGATGAAACACTGAGACTATTGCAAGCTTGTCAGTTTGTGGACAAATTTGGCAGCACTTGCCCTGCTGGGCCTAAAGAATCACACCAGTGTGTGGGAGATGAACCTAATTTCTTTGATTCTAAGTGAACATTTTTTTATAAAAATAGAGATACTTTGATATAAATATATTTTTATGTGATTCTTTATGTATGGAGTTTTTAAATTAGGGAATTAAATAATCCTTTGAATGGACTTACTTGTTGGACTAGATAGACCCTTAGGAGGTTTCGTGGACGAGGGGGTGGCAGGTGGTGTTCCTTCTCTTCGTATGGATAGACGTGCAGGTTTCTGAGCATGCACTACACCATCACACCAATTTAAACATGCTATACTTCAGAATTAAATACTAATAATATTATATAAATAATACTGACACTACTACATAGGATTACAAACTGTTAACGTTATTAGTAAGAAGCACAGAAATGCTATTAAGTTGTAATATATAAAATGTTCAGCATCATGATTTAACGATACAAAAACTAGCACTTATAGCTTATTAGCTGAAAACTTAATAGTTCTAATTAAATCTCTCATTTCTAAAAAGAAAATTGATAAAAACTACAGAAATAAAAAACATACATTTCATACATCACTGCTTAATAAATGAACTGATGAAGCTTAATGGTCTGAGAAAAAAAGTGAAATGAAACTGCAAGTAGCTAATGAAAAGATAAGATGCTCTAAAAGCATTGCAAGAAAGGATCACGAGTATACAAAGCAAGCATAATTTGTAGTCTACTCTGCATTTTCAAATTTAATATTCTTTATCACAGTGCTTACCTTTTATGATAAAATCAATTTTTTTCTTGTTGATATCAAATTGACTGATCGAAAATTAATTCAATTTCATGCATAAACTGATAAGTTCACAAATTTTTGACAAACATCTACTCTGGATGCATGCAAAATTCAATATTAATCTTAAATCTCTCTTGATACTGTTCGAATAATTTTAATGAATATCTGTGTATCTCGGCGACTCCATCACCTGTTAAAAATAGTTAATGAAAGCGAATAAACAATTATAGCTGCAATTGTAGCGATAGGCGTAATTGCCCTACGAATATGCTGAAAGATACAAAGATTGCTGTGAGGTTCATCATTTTTTAACCCGTATTGCATGAATTCAAAATCGAACTTCAAGTCTAATAAAAAATTACATTTCAACAATGACATAAAGCAATAAAAACAATTTTCTAATTTCCACAATACGGGTCAGTTTGTGAAAAGAAAGAAAGAAATGATTTGCCGTAGAACACGCTGCCATGTACAGATGATTTAATTCTTATGCTCCATCACCAGCTTAAAGGATCGATAGCAGGATCTATATATAAAATTCAATTCACCCATCAAATACCAGAGCTTCATTTATAGAACAAAAATAGGGAGCGACAACCTGAACAGTCGATAAACTCGACACAAGAACATGTTATTTCGCATAAAATATGACACTGGTATTTAACAGAGTAACGCCATTAACAATAAATTTAGTACATGATACACTTTATATCCTGAAAAAGATTTATTTAACCCTTTGCACTCATCGGTTGCAAAAAATGAAATAATGTTAACAAGGAAGAAAAAAAGGTACACAATGAAAAATGTAATTTTAAACAATTAACGAAATGTTAACTTAATGGTAGACAAGTTTCAAATGAAACAAAACGAGAAAATATCAAATTTAAAGGTAGAACGTAAATTTGAGCGCAGAAAGGGTGATACTTCTTTTATGGGAACACTCACCTTCCTTGGGCTTGTCTTGAGGCTGTGGTGTACGTGTAGAAGCCTTGCGATGTGCCACTGTGGTTTTGTGCATTCCGTGCCGCATTTTAGGGTGCATTCAGGGCAATTTCCGGATCCGGATAGACGGATTTTTATTAGGACGGAGTCAAGTTTCATGATGGGTTGGGAGAGAGGCAAAAATAAACGTGCTGTTAGCAATTTCATGCTTATCCAAACAAACCAGTTTGTAAAACCAGACTATAAGTTAAATGTGTACAAGATACGTAGAAAGCGAAATCGTACGATAAACATTGTATTAGTAGACAAAAAAAAAAAATGTTTATAGATTTTCGCGAGAATTGAACGTTTTTAGAAAAGGCTTTTAAATTTTGTTCCTTTAAACACTGAATTGTTTGAAACAAAGAATACAACGTACACGACCACTCTTGTCAAACTGTTTCTTAAAGTACTATGCACTATAATTATCTTACCATGTGACTCGTCTTCACCGGTGGGTCGTTCTCCGCTAGGTACTCCTTCAGCTTCAGCTCTGTTCAACAAAGATATACTCTTAATTTTATGTAATATAAGTTACTCACAATTCTCTTTTGCTTCGTTATAAAACCAGTACACGGTAAGTTAATTACTGGTGAAGTATTTATTTTATTAATGACTTGTTGCAGTACCTTTCACTGGGTGGTTCATCGGGACTAGTTACTGGCGTTGCTTTAGCTAATCGAGCTGCCTCAGCTGCTGCAGCCTCCTCTTTTTTACGTCTCTCCTCTTCCTCTCGCTCTTGTTCTCTCCTCTTCATTTCTTTCAACTCAAACTGTAACACAAATCAAATTGATAAATTCTTTTTCGAGTTTGCGACCAAGTTGAAATGATAAATACTGACGGTAGTGAGTCGATGCAAGGCACTAAACCTTTCTTCTTGCGCAGCTGCCGACTTTTCGAATGCTTCGTGCTTCTTAATAAGGTTCTCCACTTCGTCAATCGTGTGCTGTAGCAGTCAGATGTTTGTTTTTAATATTACTGAGATGTGCATACCATTGAACAAGTAAATCAAATGTCCACTAAATTATTAATTCCTACTTACGCCAAGTTCTTGGCTCATAAGATATGGTTCTTGAGCGATCAACCATGCCTCGGCGACCGCGGCATCTCTAGCGAATTGATACACCTCCAAAACTGAAATAAAAGCGAAAGTATTAACAAAATTCCTCAATGTCATTGTATAAAATGACCTATATTTATGCTTACTGAGCTGCAAATTCTCCCAACGCTCTTCCCATCTATGCAGCAACGCGTTTCTATGATCAGTGAGAGCCGCCAGTTTCTCCTTGATCTGAGAACTGGCATAATGATTCCTAGCTAACAAATCCTTGCCCAGATTGATGCAAGCCATCAGATTGTCCTCCCTGGCATCTATCTCAGCCTTTAAGCTTTGATGATTGTTCATCAAGAGTTCAACTCCTGCCACATCGCGAGGTTTCTCGGTCGTGTTCATCTGGCGCACTACGTCGTCCATCCAGATCATCAGGGTTCTGACCATGTTGAAGAACCGGAAGAGGTCACCGGTATCTTCCAGTTTCGTTCTTCTTCCTTCGCAGAGGGCCTGAAGGTTCTTCCATGCTGCGACAACCTCTCCTTCACGGTTCGTTATCTCCCTAGCTTTGTCACCAGCATAGCTCGCCTGCAATTTAGCTGATTCCTCTTGAATCTGTGACACTTGGCTCTGCAACGTGAACAGGTCCTGTATGAAGTTGGCGTGTTTCCGTTGAAGAGCGGAAACGGAGCCAGCATCGCGACCGAGCTCGTCAGACATTGCGTTCTGTTTCTCCAGGATTCTTCCAAGTACGTCCTTGCAGTCATGGAAGAACTTGTGCAGTTCTCGACTGGCTTGCAGCATCTGTGTGCGAGTCTCGATCAACTCGAGCAAGTCTTGCCAAACCTCGTTCAGTCCATCCTTCCATTCGGCGATGGTAGCTGCATCAGAGTGACCTGTTGCTATCAAAGAATCTGCGATACCGTTCACGGCTGCTACCCTTTCTGAGCCTATCGCCTCGGTGTCTCTAGCGAACTCCTTGAACCTCTCCCACAGAAGCGTCACATGGTCATAATCCTGACCCAGCTCGTGACTTCCAGCGACCAGTTCTCTCTCTGCGATCCACTGTTCCAAGTCATCTACCTCTCTATTCAACATGAACAGCTGAAGAGCCTCGTCCAGCTTGGCTCGGCGTTCGCCAGCCAGGTCCTTTAGTCCAGCGTACAACTTGTCCACCTGAGATTGCTTAACGGCAATCTGATCAGCCAGAGGATGTTGATCATTGATTAACTGTCTCGCTGTCTCTCCAAGCTGGCGGATGGTCTCTGCGTAATCTTCCACAGCGTGCTCCAAGGACTCGTGCTTCTTCATCAAGTTTTGTGCCGAGATTTCGTCTTTGCCACGATCCTCCACCATCATGTACAACTCCTGCTCGCTCATCCATGATTCAGCTTCGGTCGCGTCGAAGAAGTATTGTTGGGCCTTCTCGTTCTGTAGTAGATGTTTGTTTCTGTCGTCGACGGCGTCTTTCAGTTCCTTCCACTTCTCTGTTAGCTCGGAGATAAGCTGACGGAACTCAGGACTATCCTCGTGGCCTTCGTCGATCAGCTTTTGTCCATTGTTGCAGACTAGGTTGATCCTGGGTTCGTGGTTGTCGATCTCGGTGCGCAGAGATTGGTTCTTCTTCTTCAGCATGTGTACGTTGAATAGGGAGTTGCCATACTCGGTGCTGGTAGCTTGAGGCATCTTCTCGGCGATCCAGAGCTTCTCGTCCTCCACGTCGCGTCTGAACTGGAAGGCTTCCTTCTTCTTTTCCAACTGACGCTGTCGGTCGATCAACGGTGCCTTCAGCTGTGCGAATCTTTGCGCAACCTTCTCCTTCTTGCACTTGATCTCCTCCATTTTGTCTTCCGGTACCGTACGTTGCAAGTGTTCGGCTTGTTTGTCCAGTTCCGTCACCTGTCGAGCCTTGACCGCCATCTGCGTCTCAATCATCTGTTGCTTCTGCATCAGAATGTTCACGGAGGCCAAATCGGAACCTGTGTCCGTGCTCTCGATCTGCTTCTCCAGTTCGTTCATCCATGAGTCGATATCGTCGCAGGTCTGGTGAATAAGGACTTCACGATTCGCATCGAACAAACGTTCGCCTTTGTCGTGAGTAGTGGTCTCGAGTTCCTCGAACTGATCAGCCAATTCGGCCACCTTTGGCTTAATAATATCCGCCAAATCCGGTTTCTGTTGAATCAATTCCTCAGCAGCTTGCTGTAATTGCTGTAGACGATCCTTATTGCTCGCGATCTCCGCCTCGAATGCCTGATGCCTAGTCCACTTGCTGTGCACGGTCTTCGCGCTTCTGTAAGTCTCATCTTGGGCAGTGATGTGCTTCTCCTGTACCCATTCACCTAACTCCTCGCAATCCTGCAGGAACATCTGCAGCTGCAGTTGATCCTTCAGTTTCTCCATGTACTGATTGGCCTTCTCGCGGTTAATGCGACGCCGTTCGTTGATGCTCTCCGCCTTCTTCTTGACTTTGTCAGCCGCAAAGTGTCCCTTGTCGACAAGTCGTCCGGCGAACTGCACCACAGAGTTGATCTTCTCGTCGTTTGCGTCCATGGTCGTCATAAAGGCCTCGTGCCGCTTGATCATGTGCTCAGCTTGCTCGAAGTTCGCTGGTGTCTCGTCCTTGGCGAGAATGTGCTCTTGCTGGGACAAAAGCACCTCTGCTTGACGAGCGTCGCGATCGAACACCTGGAAGTTCAGCGAGTTAGACAGCAACAGCTTCCTGTTGGCCCACATCTGGTGCAATTCTTCCCAGCCCATTTTCAAGGCGTTCAATCTCTCTCGCAAGAACATGTATTGCGTGTCGCCGGCACCGGCCTCGCTGGTTAATCTTTCGCCATACTCCATCATCTTCTGGTAATCGTCGGTATAGTTGTCGATCTCTTCCTTGATGTTCTGGTGCTGCGTGAGTAATTTTTCGGCATCGGCCAACGTGGTCGGCGTATCCTCGCTGGCAACATCGGTCTGAGTCTTGGTCAACCATGCCTGGAAGTGGTCGAGGTCTCTCAGGAATCTGTGCAGGTCGCCGGCTTCCTCCAACTTGGCGTCGCGCTCCTTCAGCATCTGAGTCAGCTGTTCCCAAATAGTATGAATCTGAGTGATTCTTTCCCGAATCACTTCTGGATCTTCCAAGTTCTGTTTCTGAATGTTTTCGGCTTCCTTTTCCAAAGCGTCTAACTTGGCCTGTATGGCTGCCAGGTCGCGTTCCATGCCACTCAGCCGACGCTGCAAAGTCATAACTCCGGTCAAGTCCATCTCCAAACTGTCCGTTTGCTGGAGAATACGTTTCTTATCCTCAATCCAGGACACTGTCTCGCGGCACTCGATGTGGAAGGTCTGCACACCGTGCGCAGAGTTCAACTCGTCACGTTTGTTCTCCGCCTTTTCGCGTAATTCTGCCCATTTCTGGTTCAATTCGTTCTGACGAGCTACTATCTGTTCAGAGTTAGGATGTTCGACGTGCAGCAATTGTCTGGCCAGTTGATTCACAACAGCAACTCGAGAAGCATTGGCGTACATTTCTTTCTCGAAACCATTGTATCGATGCTTCATGATCTCCACATCTTCGATGTCTTTAGCCGGAACCATCGTTTCCAGCATTCTGTTCTTTTCGCCGATCCATTGCTCAACTCCATCAGATTCGCTGAACAACTTGTACAACGACAATGCATCCAACAGTCTCTGTTTACGCAGCTTAGCCAGTTCCATGAGTTCCTTATACCTCGAGTCGATAGAAGCGAGTCTTTCTAGAACTTCCGGCGATTTAGCATCCTGTTCGCCAAGTCCAGATGCCTGTTGATGTAGTTGATCAATCGTGGTAGCATAGTTTTTCAGTTCATCAGTCACATCCTTATGTTTCTTCAACAAAGACTGTACATTTGCTTCGTCTCTGCCAACGTCTTCTGACGAAACGAGTCTCAAGGTATCCAACATCCAAATGTCAATGTCATCAGCATCCGCGAACAGTTGATGGTAGTCGACGGCCTCTTCCAAACGTTTTCTCCTGAAAGCAGCCAAGTCCAGAAGATGGTTCCACATTCCCAGGATTTCCTGAAGTCTTTCCTGGATACGATCAGACCCAAAGTGTTGCTGCCGGACTAGTTCGTCTCCCACAGCAGCCACAGACATCAGCTGTGGTTCATGAGACTGAATTTCGTTCTCTAGAGCTTTGTGTTTCGACAACAGGAGGTTGATAGTGGTTAGGTCGTGACCAATATCTCCAGTCGACACTATCTGCTCCTTCTCCTTGATCCAGTTCTCCTCATCAGCCATATCCCAGTAGAACTGCCACAATTTGCGAGACTCTTCGAGTCTGGCTCTGCGTTCGACAGCCAGACGTACCAGTTCTGCGTATGCATCTTCAAGTTGCTGCACGCGTTCGACGATGATCGTTGGATCGCAAGGACGATAGCCTTCTCCGTGTTCCAAGAACTTCTGACTTTGTTGAACTACAGCTTTCACTCTTTCTCCTAGGACGTTGATATCAGCCTCGACCAGAGAATGCTTCTGCAAGAGGTCTTCAACACCCATAAGGTGTTTTCCATAGTCATCAGTTAGCAAACGCATCTTGATCTCCTCCATGCTATCGAGAATGTACAACATTTCCTGGAAGTTCTGCTGCAACTGTAGGGACAATTCCAGCCTCATTCTTCTAGCTCTAAGTAGCTCCAGTAAGTAGTTCCAAAGTCTCAGAACATTGTCCTTGCGGGCATTAATGCGTTCAATGTCATGATAATTCTCGGTCTCCAATTCTTGCGAAACAGCCATCACAGCCTGGACACGTTCCTCATACGCGAAGATATCGGTTTCGATGGCCTCGTGTTTCTTTGCCGCAGCTTCCACAGCAGCCAAATCAAAACCGAAGTTATCCTGAGATACCAATCTTTGATTCTCGGACAACCAGGTCTCCCTCATGCTAGCCTTTCGGTTGAATCTCGCCGCTAGTTGCTCCAGTTTTTCCTGACGAATCAGTTCCTCGCGTAAGGCCAACTCTCGTTCGTGTTCCGCTTTTTCTAATCTCTCCCAAGCCTTGTTAATGTCCGAGATCATTTTACCTTCCTTCGGCGTGTACGGTTTTTGATTATTTGCTCGCATCTTCGACTGTAGCGTGAACAGTAAGACTTCCAAGTTACCCTTCTCCACGAATTTCGGGGGTTTCTCCACGGTACGGTAGTTGGAGAACTGGGAAAGCTGCGATTGAACACCAACCAAAGAATTGGCGAATCTACGATCTCCCAGTGCCTCTATGGTACCCTCGATCCAACGCAACAAGTCGCTGGTCAGACTCTCATACTCGTGTATCATGCGGTCGTTTTCCATGGCGATGCCGACCACTTTGCCGATTCTCTTGCCCTGGACAGTCTCTTGCTTCATCTTCGAGAAGTAATGGTAATACGTTACCACGTAGGTGATGATCGACTTCTCGTCAGGATGGTCGACGAATATATCTTCCGCATCTAACAGTTTAGTGAGACCAAGCTTATCCTCGGCTACATTGAACGCGTTATTTAAATTATAAATAGCATTGGATTTAGATAGTTTCTCGAACTGAATCAAGTCTGGACGGTGTTTGTGAATGATGGCGTTAAAAGCTAATCCGTCGCGCCAGGACGTGGTGAAATTTCTCACGTTAACATTATGATAACCAGCCGTTTTCATTTGACACCAAAGGAGCAACGCGTCCTTCGCCGATTTCGTCTCTTGATTGTCCGTCTCCTCGATCGTGATATCCTGGATCTGGAACCGCAGAATGATGGTCCAAATGAGACCCAAGCTCAGACGCGGATTTCCATCCACTATGTCGTGGGATCCCATGTTTTCCAGGTGGACTCTTTGCTCGCGCAGGAACTGCAACGCTTTGTCGACGTTCTCCAAACAATGAATTCGCATTTTTCCTTTCGTCGGTCGTGGCAAACGCTCTCCGGAAAGGATCTCTAGCAGTTTGATGAGCATCTTGCCATCTCGAAGATCGACGTACAGGTCGCCAATTCGGCAGGAACACCGGACCAAGTGGGAGTTCACCCATTTTTGGAAGGTCTTCTTTTGTACTAATTCACGTTCACCTTACAACAGTACATAGAGATAATTAATGAAGGGAGAAGATAAGTGGACACTTTTGGGTGACTCCACTACATTTGAAATATTTTTACCTCGTAAATTAAACACAATTTTATCGTAATCCATTCTTACTAATGTGATCCTCTTTTTATATTTATGTGAGTGATAAACGGTGCATCGTCTTATAGCTACTCGACGGTTATGCTAAGATTCTTCAAAGAACATAAAGTTTTAAGTGTGCACTTATCAAACGCCTATCCATATCAAAGGATGTGGCAATAGTTGCTTTGCAATTTGATTTCCGAAGCAGTAAACGAAACGTCATTGACGGAAGTGACGTTTTGCAATTTATAATTTGATATTAAAGAAGAAGAAAAACTATTAAAATAGCGATTTACTATTTTTATGTTTTTAAATATCATGGCGTTGAATGTCGATTTCTTAAAAGGGATCGTTGGGGGATGATCAGTGGTGGAAATACGATTGACCTTTCTCGAGAAGTTCAAAGCTTTACACCTTCGAAGTAAATTTAATACGTACCAGCTAAAGCTTTGATTCGTGAACGTTCGAAAAGTCTCGAACTCGAGTTTCCCCCGTCGTATTCGTACTCATCGACAATCTCTTGTTGCAACGTGGGGTCCCAACCCCCGCGCACTACCGAGATGTCGGTCGTCATTTTGTCAATCGGACCAACAACTCACTTCTGTCTTACCCTTCGAAAGGGCGCTCCTGAAACCATCAAACATTTGCATTAACAAATTTTATATAATTAATGTTTTGCATTAGAATCGCAAGCCTTTATCGATCGTGCATATAGATGTTTTGCGGACACCCGATATATTGCACCGTTCACCTGCAAGTACAGCAAGAATCGAAGATTATACTCGATAGCGAATTACGATATCGGGAAGGAACGATCAACAGATATCGAGAACAAGGCGTTTAACGATCGTTGCTCGTTCCGACGCCATTGGTGCATATTTCGCACGTGTGACATCATTCGCGTGATGTAATCGCGAGTCGACTCCCACACGCTTTTGTGAATGTAATGTAACGTGTTGTTCCGCGGATGTCCTGAAAATAAGTTGTGCACTTGACCGATGCTTTCTTTTCACCATTACAAAATGCAACTCACCTCCAACATTAAATACCGATAATTTAACTGGTAATTATCTCGAAATTAAATTATAATTTTGGGGGAATTGCAATTGAAGATTAAAGTCGATTTATTCGATCAAAAATAAATTTAATAAATCAGGCAAGTTTAAATTGATAATTACATTCTCTGTTGCTGTTAATCCTTCATTTTGCAGACTTTCAAATAAAAGATTCAGCAAAGTACTTACATTTATGAAATTAATTTAGGATTATGAATTTAGGACAATGAAACTAATGTACCTAACGCTAGGTACTAAGAAACCTTGATTATGCAGTCTCAATTCCGGATGAACCATAAAAGTCTGTTTGTACGATTACCGCGATGAAATCACTGCAGATTATGTTTTATTCATTGCCAGATCGTCGTTGTTCCGTAAAAATCTTTCAAGCTTTATAACTCTAGGAATTTAAATTTAGCCATTCTATCTTTAAAACTAATTATAGTTTGATACAGATTTTCTCTGTCTGTTTGGTAATTAAACCCCGCTCATAATCCGACATTAGCTCATCTGTTCTAGGAACACAGTGTAAATCTTGCCAGATTCAGATCTACAAGTTTGTTCTTCTTTCATTTAGTAATTGAATTTCAATTCACACCTCTCGGTTACGATCACGCGAAATGACATTTATTACGCAATAGGTGAAGCGATGTCTGATTAATCATTAACCCTATTTTTTATTTACATTTGCACAAATATTTTAATCTCGATAATGTACGACATGGCATGAAAATTAATGTGAAATTAATCATATGTTCGCACCATTAAACTGCACTTTGCTTTGATATCAATCTCGCTACTTTTAATTGTACACTTTAATCAAAGTCGTTATCTACAGATACGTAAGACACATAAAAACTGATAAGATTTTCTTGCAGTCCTTATCGAATGTTATTCGATATAAGAAGTTACAGGTACAATAACTTATAACTCGTTACTCAAAGCTCATCTTTTGCACAATTAGTCACAAAAAATCGGTGAGAAATTTTCAAACAAAAATTTCTTTGGAATGAATGTATATCGCTACAAATGATTCTCGTAGAAATTAGAGAACTTTTTTCATCACAAGAATCAAAACTCATTGAATGTTTCTAGAGAAACGTGATATGTTTAAGTTGCAAGATCGCTGCATTACGTAAGAGTTTCTTAAATAGCAGTATTTGATGATTCATTCGTTCCATATTTGAACTATTACTCTAAAATACTCTCGGCAAAATTCCGCTCCAGCTCCAAAGTCAGAAATGTATTTGTAAAAACTTGTTGCAAGTTACACGACGTTCCGATTGTTTCTAAGGACGTGGTACACCTCAAAAGGGTTAAATTCGCAGAACGAGGCTAACTGTAATAATGTACGGGGTCACGTGAAATTGGAAAGTGATGCAGTGTACATTGCAGCATCCGTGACCCCGTTCAGTCGCTGTTTAAAAGATTAAATAAACGTGTGTACACCGTAAACCAACGGACGTGTGCCGGACTAGTTTTCAGGGTGATTTTTGCTCGTCGGAGTATCGATGTCGTCTTAAGACTTAAGGTGTTCTCGCATCGTCGAAACTCCGTCTCTACACTCGCTGCGAAATGTCACCGTCAAAGAACGACGCCCGTATCCACTTACACTGTGGTTTTCCTTGAGTTTTTACACACCGGGTACACCGAGGACGTGATATATTAGCCGCTTGCACTTGGTCAGACGAGGTCGTCTTCACGCTTCGATTCCAAAAAAATTTCTATTGTCTGAACGAGGAACTGAGATTCAGCAATGAGTAATTATTCTACACAATCTTTAATAGGATTGTGCAACATATTACATCACTGGACTAGTTTAGAAACTTGGAATTTTTATAATTTGCAAAGGATTTGGGGAGATTTGAATGAAATCAAATTTGATCCAGAAATGTGATTATTAAAAAATTTGAGAATCTACAAACTTGAGGAACAATGAGTTCCTAAGACCCATAAAATAATTGGGAATGTGTAAGCTTTTCCAAGTGCGTTCCAAACCCTCGGAATTGGGGAACGTTCCTAGTATCAAAATGACCTCACAGCGCTCGCGGGTCAAGAATCTCCTGTGACCCAATTTACACAGTATCCCGAGCAGATCGAAGGGCAACAGCCGAAAGTAACTGAAAAATTAATGACATTCTAACGTGTCTGACAAACACTTACGGTAAATTAAGAGCAATTACCGGCATACTTTAACGAGCATTGCCAGAAAGCAGGGAGTTGAAATCAACGGGGCAAAGATTAGCGGCTTGCAACGAGTAGGCGGAGTGAAATGAATCACAAAAGTGAATGACACGATCGTGGAAGGTTAACTTTACTCTACGTTTATCTCGTGGAAAAACGATTCAAAGTCCATGAACTAATATTTCCTTACGATGTCCCTAAACCGATCAAGTCTTAAAAATTTCTAATTTTATCAGAACCACGTTTCACTCGAGATCTTCACCTTGACTTAGAAAAAAGCTTCCACCTCGACCTTCTGTCTCTTCAAAAGCTATCGTGGTCGCAATTACCCGCGGATCTTAATCGCGAGAGAAGAAATCGAGCTAACGAGGAAAGTAATTAATGAAAAAAAAAGAAGTCTCTTTATGAAGGAACTAATAAACCGGTCTTTCATACGATCTACCGAGTTTAGGGTTAATCTGCCGTTTAATCGGTTCTCTCTACGTATTAAGCACTTGAAGCGGCTGTGTGTGTACCTGGCCTAGCTCGGATCCGTACAAAAGAACACGCCAACATGCTAGACGCCGCAACGCTGAAGGTAAGATGAACTCGCCACGAACACAGCGTCAAGCTATTGATTTTCCACCGGAGTCACCGTGGCGCCAATGTTCGTGATACATATTACGTATGGGGTGATTCGGTAAAAAACGGAACCTTAGTTTTTACACTTTTACATAAACGTTGCCAACATCACTGTACCAATCGGTTGTGCTTTACAAAAAGATTATGTCGCGTGAGTTTTGGTATGCAACGTGTGCTCAATTCTGTGATATGGTAAACTTGTGACGGTCTCGATGCCTATGCAATTTGCGGTACGATCATTTAGTATTTGATGACATAACATCTACCCACGCAATTTGACATAGTCGGTATGCTATTTTGTAATGTCTATTTCGCAGGGACAGTTCATTAGCTACTATCGAATCACCCGGTGTATTACATACGTATATCTTCTTTGTACCTATGTACAATGAGGCAAGCACTCTCACAATATTCTCGAGTGAATGTAAAGGACTTCGTCGAAAAAGAGAAAGCTCTGATTTTGAACGGTGTTGACTGAGTATCGCCCTTTCATTCATTAAAAGACTGAATCCAGAACAAAGCAGCAAACATTTCCGAAAGGTAAATGTGGCGATAAGAATAACTAAACGGTATCGAAAAAACAATATCCAACATAATTGTTACATAACTAATAATAATTGTGTGAATGGAAAATCAGTTCGAATTCAATGACTCAATATTCGTTTAACTTTATCGTTTTCTGTCCAATGTATAATCGCCAATCAAACGCTATTGTTTGCCAACATACTCCAACCTCCTGCTGAGCAAACAAGATAATCAAGAGGTAACGAATTTAGAGACAAGTGGAATGTAGAAAACCGTGGTGCCCTGGGGGGTGACCTGATTACAACGTCCCTGCCAAAAGGATGCCATCGACAATACGACTTCATTTGACTCGGAAGAGGGGTCCATTGGCTAATGAGGTTAAGAGCGAGACTAGACGATGCATTGACTCGAATATTGAGTAAACCATGTAACGACGTGTTAAAAAGGCTAGACTGTTATTCGCTAATAGCCACGACTAATTGTTCGGTAAATCAATCACCTTTATAAATAGTTACTCTAGAATATCGCGATATAATAACGATACAGTATACTCATATTTTCTGCACAATACTAATTTAATTAAGATGATGTATAACAACAATTTCACTCCATTCAGAAGTATATCACCCCCCGTTTCCTTGTAACAATCCCTTGTAACTATTATGAAATTAATTTAATCGTACGCGTAATCGTTCGATAACTGAACCTCTTGATTCTCGTTTTAGCCGAGGAAACTGGTTTCTTAGTATCGTCGTATCAAACCCGTTTTGAATTTTATAATTACCATGAGATCAGCTAATTGACCGAAGTGCAATTTTTACAATATTCGCATTTGCGCGGTGTCATTTCGAATCGATCAATTACATATCCCATGTATACATTAAATTTGAAATAGATTAATCACTCGTAGAGTATAATAAATTTGAATATCTAATTTTAATCGCCAATGACTTTGCCATTGCAACATCATCGTGTTGTTCTTTTTATTTTTCCTGTTTAATGGCGTTGGACGCTGAATCAGCC